ACCTGGAGCGCCAGGAAAACCTAACATTAAAAATTTTTGCGCTTAACTGGTTTCATAGTTTTTTAGGCTGTTATTTCATGTTTTATTGGTCCCAATTCGTTTCCTTAGTAGTTTAGCGGGCCACACGGTACCGGGAGGCAATTTTTAGAGTTTTCCGGCGCTGTTGTTGTTTAGGTTTGTTGACCTTGCCTTACATTTGATTTAGTGAATTTAAAGAATTACGGTGCCTGGAGCGCTTTGTCAAGGCATCTGACGACTTGGGGATTTGTGCAATTTCGGCTTTTTTTCTGGCTGCGAAGCGATTTTTAAGCTAATTTTACAGTACCCTGTAATATACATATACCTGTAGATAAAATTTTAATGTCGCAGTAAAATTTAACTGATTACTTTACAGGGTTACGGTCTCTGGAGCGCTTTTTAGAGCATTTTAACGCTCCGATAATTCCTTTCAGTAGCAATGGGCGCCTATCATTCGTTATCAAAAGCCTTGATCGAGACCAAGATATCAGCCCGCCCCCTATTTCCCCCTCAATTTTCCTTTTGATCTGACCGCCCATTCGGCTTTTCCATCTTTAAAGCATTTCCTCTCGATACCTCGTTCTCATTTCAATCCTTTAGGAGGCCCACCTATGCTATGCTCGGGACCCCATCATTCTTCTACTTTATCCAGCTGCTGAACAATTGTGCCCCGATTCTTCGTGTTTCTCTGGGACAACACGGTGAGGGTGACTAGTAGAAATTTTTGAGGATTTCTCGATGAGCCCTGGAACTGGACTGTTAGCGGGGGGGGGGTACTGACGAAATACACCATCCTTATAGCTTTTTACGTGATTTTCATATATAAAAACCTATAAAAGCTCAGGAAATTTTCGATTTTTTCTAAAAAAATTAAGAATCTCAGAAGTTTCTTAACTTTTTTAAACCATTCTCAGTAAGCAAAATCTACAAAAAATACGATAAAAAGCGCTGCAAAAATGCTAATTCTTTGCTAGGTATTGGATAGCCCCCCCCTAACGGTCCAGTACCAGGAATCTCAGCTAACCCTGATTTTTTCGAATTTATAATTAGGAGCTTACTTACTATTTTTACTTTTCCTTCACAAATTTATATTTACAAAAATACAAACATATCGATTTTTCGATAAAAAATCGCCGATTTCGAACAAATTTAACAGCAAAAAATTTTTCGATGGGAAATTTAGGAAATTGTGCTAAAGCCACTTACTTTTACGCCACAGGACATTTCTTGACTTATGAGAAAAATACCCCCTCCCCACTAATGCATAAGAACCATAATAATAATCCTAGATCCTCCCCATCCACGCTGTCATCCCAATATCAGCGTCTCGCCCGGAGTTCTCACACAAAAATGGGACGCCGGTAGTGGCCAATTCACTCGAAGAATTCCATAGGAGATACGGTACTTTGGACACAGTTTAGGGGATCCTCTCTTTTCAGGTCTTGTCGAGGTGTCGGCCTGCTCGGTGGCATTTCCGGGGGCTGTGATATTTGCATGGGAAGTGGTGGGCGAGAGAGCACCACATCAACCATTACCTCTACATACTACACACTGTCGCACTGCCTTTAATGCACCAAAACAGGTGAGGGAGGCTAGCAGCGACCATTTGGGAATTGAGAGAGGGAGGGCAGGCTAGCAGAGACCATTTGGGAATTGAGAGAGGGAGGGCAGGCTAGCAGAGACCATTTGGGAATTGAGAGAGGGAGGGCAGGCTAGCAGAGACCATTTGGGAATTGAGAGAGGGAGGGCAGGCTAGCAGAGACCATTTGGGAATTGAGGGAGGAAGGGCAGGCTAGCAGAGACCATTTGGGAATTGAGAGAGGGAGGGCAGGCTAGCAGAGACCATTTGGGAATTGAGAGAGGGAGGGCAGGCTAGCAGAGACCATTTGGGAATTGAGAGAGGGAGGGCAGGCTAGCAGAGACCATTTGGGAATTGAGAGAGGGAGGGCAGGCTAGCAGAGACCATTTGGGAATTGAGAGAGGGAGGGCAGGCTAGCAGAGACCATTTGGGAATTGTGAGAGGGAGGGCAGGCTGGCAGAGACCATTTGGTCAGAAGCGTAAACGTACTTTTAGGGCCATTATACGATCAATCTGGTTGTTCGGGATCGTGATGAGACGATTTTAGGCACCGGTACTACATCAATCCAGGTAAGTATTTTTCGGTGTTCCCGGTCCCTTTAAAAGCCCTTTAAATACCGTAATCGGTTGCACGCCAGAAATTAGTATTTAACTCATTCCATTTAAAGGATCAGGCAAGGCTAGCTATGGCTTTTGTTTGCGTATTTTTGTCTTCTCGGTACCTTCAATGGCGAAAAACTAGTAAAATTTAGGTTCGCGACCGTTGGATCGTTGCACTTGGGGATTCGTACTGTTCCGGCGAGGGGAATCCGGATATTCCGGAAGACGCAGAGGGGAGACGGGCCGTCTGGATGAACGGTATGCCCTTTCCTAAGTAATCTCTGCTAGCCTGCATCTGGTTGTGTTTTCCCCTCCCCTTCCATCCCCCTCTAGACCTGACTAAAGCGGTCTCTTCAAAGGGGTCCCGCAACGAAAGGCCATGAGGGCACAAAGTCTGATTATGAAGGAAAGAGGGAGGAGGGCAAACATCAAAGGGACACCGCACACTCCATTTCGTACTCCACGAATCTGCGCATTTAGCCTGGCTCTGAGGGGGGATACGGTAGTTTTAAAGGGATTGAGAAGGGTTGGGGTTGTGAAAAAAGGGCGCAAATGGTCTCTGCTAGCCTGCCCTCCCTCTCTCAATTCCCAAATGGTCTCTGCTAGCCTGCCCTCCCTCTCTCAATTCCCAAATGGTCTCTGCTAGCCTGCCGTCCCTCTCTCAATTCCCAAATGGTCTCTGCTAACCCCCAATTTGCAGATCGTTGCCACCGTTCCTCCTCCTCCTGGGCCTCCCGTCTATCCGACCGTGTCCATAGGAGTGACCCGTCCTCCCCAGTCATCTTCTCCTTTCTGTGTTGTACCGGGGCTTCTGTCGAGCAGGGCGTTCTCCGTTCTACACCCCAACAACCCATCCCTCAAATGGCCGTCGTCGAGCAGATCGCCAACAAATTGTTCGTTTTAGCTTTTAAAGGGATCGTGAAAGAAGACTCAACAGTTTTTATACATGGATTTCAGCGAGTTGAGGCCGGATCTGGTGTTGTTATCGGTTGGAGGGAATGACATCGGGTACGCGGAGATACTGCATGCACTCGGGAATGGGCATGAGACGACACTTTTCGGGACTATGCATCTGAGGTAGGGATTGAAGGGACTGAGACAGGGTGCGCTAGCAAAGATTCTTTAGGAGAAGGCAGGCTAGCAGAGATTCTTTAGGAAAAGGCAGGCTAGCAGAGATTCTTTAGGAGAAGGCAGGCTAGCAGAGATTCTTTAGGAACCGAATTATAAATATCTTTAGATTTATGTTCGCTTCCCAACAATTGGATCAACTCGCAACGAGATTATCCTCTCTTCGTCCTCGTCGAGTATTATTCCCGCATTATTTCGACCCGTCTCGAGATGAGCATGGAAATTTCGACGCTTCTTGTCAGGATCTACAACATGTAAGTTGGGGCAGGCTAGCTGAGATTCTTCAGGAGAGGCAGGCTAGCAGAGAGCTTTTAAGAAATATACAAATTTGAACTTTAGATCGGTTCTTCCAACCTTCGCCATGCCGAGGAGATGATCCTCCGCCGGCTGAACCGTATGATCTCGGCGAAATGTGTGGAGAATGGGTGGACACATGTGGATGTATCATCTGTCTTTCAAAAGGCCGGCATTTGCAGTCGGCATAGTCGGATACGGTACGTCAGATGTTGCTCAAATGTTCTCTGCTAGCCTACCTTCTCCTAAAGAATCTCTGCTAGCCTGCCTTTTCCTAAAGAATCTCTGCTAGCCTGCCTTCTCCTAAAGAATCTCTGCTAGCCTGCCTTCTCCTAAAGAATCTCTGCTAGCCTGCCTTTTCCTAAAGAATCTCTGCTAGCCTGCCTTTTCCTAAAGAATTTCTGCTAGCCGGCCTTCGCCTAAAGAATCACTGCTAGCCTGCCTTCTCCTAAAGAATATCTGCTAGCCTGCCTTCTCCTAAAGAATCTCTGCTAGCCTGCCTTTTCCTAAAGAATATCTGCTAGCCTGCCTTCTCCTAAAGAATCTCTGCTAGCCTGCCTTCTCCTAAAGAATCTCTGCTAGCCTGCCTTCTCCTAAAGAATCTCTGCTAGCCTGCCTTTTCCTAAAGAATCTCTGCTAGCCTGCCTTTTCCTAAAGAATCTCTGCTAGCCGGCCTTCGCCTAAAGAATCACTGCTAGCCTGCCTTCTCCTAAAGAATATCTGCTAGCCTGCCTTCTCCTAAAGAATATCTGCTAGCCTGCCTTCTCCTAAAAAATCTCTGCTAGCTTGCCCTTCCTAAAAAGCAATTTTCAGTACCATGGCTGATTCGAAGCGACTGGAGGGATCAACCCTCGGTGCTTTTCACCCAACAGCCGAGGCTCATGCTGAGATCGCGAGGCTCCTATGGACGGCTGGGCATTAAGAGAAGCCTACCGTAGTCTGGCGGATTCTGCCGTAGTCTCCGTACCTTGTCGTATTCTACAGTAACCTAACGTCTATCGGAAACTCGTGTATTCCGGCATTAGCCTACCGTATCCAATCGTACTGTAATCTCCTGTAAAGCGACGAAATTCTACCGTAGCCTACGATACTATGCTCGAAAGTGCACCTTTTCCGCAGATGCACTACGGTATTTACGGTGGTTACGATGTACCACCGTAATTCGGCGTAACGTAGCGTAGTCTCACCTAATACCGTCGTAAAACATAATCTACCGCAACCATATTTCTATCGTATTCTGCCGTAACCTACCGTAATCTCTGTATCGGAACCCTGCCGTAATCCTACCGTATCCACTCAGGTATTCTATCCTAAAAAACGGGTCCTCACGTGTATCATTTCCCCTCCTTCTCATCCGCAATATTTCATGATCTCAAAATTCTCCAAAATGACAACGATTCGAAAATTGTTTTTTTTTCAGTATTCTCATCGATAAATCATTTATTTCACTACCGTATATTCAAAAAAAAAACGCAAAAATGACAAATGGGCAAATCGAGTACGATATGAAACGCCAGCGGGAGATTTGTGGCCCGTATTTTGCACTTTTTGGCCTCAAAAATTCGCTTTAAAAATTCCGGAAAGTCTGTGAGATCTGCCGATATTCAGAACCCGTCAATTCTGACAAGAAAAATTGGTAAAAATAGATCAATAAATAAAAGAAATCACAATAAATATGCAGTCAATAAAAACCAGATATGCAAATCGCGGATATGCAAATTAGGGGTGATTTGGTGAGAGAGGAATATAAATACGGGCGTTACGACGATTGTGTGCTGACATTTGGGGTGGAGCGGGAGGTGAGGCGGAACGCGCGGAACACGTTACGCAACCGCCGACGCGCCGCGCTTGCACGCAACGCGACCGCCGAGATCGAGCTGAAATTGGGGGTTTTTTAGGTGGGAGTTGTAGTACTACTTCTAGTTACCTTTAAGCCAAGAAACGAATTCCTAAATGCTCTCTGCTAGCTAGCTAGGCCGTCAAAATCTCTCACAAATGAACGAACCCGACAATGATTGCGTGCGTGTCGCGTCGCGTGTGTCGTCTGGTGTTGAGGCGAGCATCATCTACTGCCGGAGCTTCATCCCTTTCTTCGGTATATGAGGATGTGGACGGCTGCTGGCTGCTCGATTCCTAAATGGTATCTGCTAGTTTGCCTCGAAATTTTTTTGATTCCGCGAGGATCTCTGCTAGATAACTCCCTAACACTCTCACTCTCTCCCTCTCTCTCTCTCTCTCTCTCTCTCTCGCTCTCTCTCTTTTCCACAAGATCTCTGGGTCTCTCACGGTTTTCTTGCTTTCATTTTTAGCTTTCATTCTCATCTTCTCATGCTCATTCGCTCGCTCTCTCCCTCTCCATCTAGCTCACTCACTCTCTCTTCCTCTCTCTCTCTCTCGCTCTCTCTCTCTATCTCCTCTCTCTCTCACCTGTCCCGGTGCCAAGTCATCTCCCAACGAATTTGGCCAACTGTCGGATCGCCTGAAGCCAACGCTCTGCTTCCCTAAAATTCCGATAAAAACCGTAACCCGACGTCTCACTCACGTCTTCCTGCCCTCTCCTCTTCAAGTGTAGGGAATGGGGATGGGAATGGGCAGTCTGTAGATCTAAACAAATTGTAGTCTAGGTGTAGTTTGTAGTTGCCCGTACTCTGTCTGGCTATTCCGGGCCATTGCCGACAGGATACGGTCGAGCCGTTCGGGCTCCGTTTCCCGCATCTTGGTCAGCAGCTTATTTTGAAGTTCTTTTGGCACCTGGAAGAGAGAGGTTTAAGAGAGAGAGAGCGAGAGAGAGAGAGAGAGAGAGAGAGAGAACGACTGTCAGCTTACGGTATATAAATCCTCCAAATGTCTGAGCATCGTCTCAACAATCCCAATCTGTAAGTCACTATCCGCCAGGCATGAATGCAGCTTTTCATGGTTTGGCCGAAGGATACAGGGAGCGAATACAGTAGCCAGATTTTTATCGTCCATCCGATTACCCGTTACGATCTGAAAATTTGAATTTTTTTTTGCGAGAATAAGGGTTTTTTAGCGAACCCACCTTTCCATTCTGATCCACCGTGTCCTGGGAGGCCTCGGAAACCTGGGAATGTAGCTTTTTAGGGATTCAAAAGTTTGGATTACGGTATGGAGACAACGCAAGAGTACTAGCAACGTGTCGGCGTTGGCTGGGGTAATAAGGAGATGAGGAGACGGCAACACGTTAATCTTTCTTCACCGGATAGGCCTGGAAAGAAAAGCTTTCTCTTCATCTCTCTCGTTCTCTATCACTCTCGTTCTCTATCACTCTCTCTGTCTGTCTCTCTGTCTCTCTCTCTCTCCCTCTCTCTCTCTCTCAAAAAACCTACGAGCTGCGGCCATCCATGCTTGATAATGTTCCCTAGGCAATAAACTCTGCGGCAAATCCCTCAAATATTCCTTCAATACCGTAGCCACATCATGGGGCGTCAACTGGAGCATAACGTAGTTATCCCTCTGCCGATTCTCTACCTGATCACTATGTGGAATTGACGGTACTGGGGCTTCTAGAGCCATTCGAAGCATACGACATCTCTTTGCTGAACCGGCAACACGGAATAGACCCACGGTATGGAGGCCTGAAAGGAAAATGATTTTCCTAAATGATCGATGCCAGCTTACCCCGCCGGTCAATAAAGGTCTAGGAAGGCAGAATTTCTTAAATGCTCTTTGCTAGCCTGCCTTGAAGGCTCCTTTAAAAATGTAATTCCCAAATAACCCCCGCTAGCCTGCTCCTTAAAACTCTATCACCTACCGTGCTGTATCAAATAGCTGGTACAGCTGTCGACGATCCGGGGCACGGCGAGTTGATGCGGCTCAGTGTCCACTGACCCTGTAGATGAACATTGGAGAGAGAGGGAGCGAGAGAGAGAGAGAGAGCGAGAAAGAGAGAGAGCGATTTTCGAAATCTCACCGGACGGCGCACAAGATTCTCGGCGAACCGACTGACGTTCGAGTGACGTGGAGAAGCCTCGTGCTCGGGAGCGGTACTGTAAAAAGGGCATATTTTAGAGTAAAAAAGATAATAAATATTCCGTTACAAAAGCACCACACGACCTTAAAAAGTGCTTTCCAAAATGCGACCTGTTGTGTATCGAGGGAGTGATGATTCAAGTGGTGTGGAGTGGATACTGTAGTTGATGAGGAGGGAGGAGGAGGAGAAGAAGACGAAGGATGGTGATGATGTTGATGATGAGAGGATGAAGACTCCAATGGGACACTTGAACCGAGAAGGGGAGGAGGAGAACCAGCAGAGGCCACTAGCGGAAGACTGCGCTGGTGGAGGCTGCTCTAAAATGCAGTGATAAAGTACCTCAAACGGTCTCTGCTAGCCTGCCCTCCCTCTCTCAATTCCCAAATGGTCTCTGCTAGCCTGCCCTCCCTCTCTCAATTCCCAAATGGTCTCTGCTAGCCTGCCCTCCCTCTCTCAATTCCCAAATGGTCTCTGCTAGCCTGCCCTCCCCTCTCTCAATTCCCAAATGGTCTCTGCTAGCCTGCCCTCCCCTCTCTCAATTCCCAAATGGTCTCTGCTAGCCTGCCCTCCCTCTCTCAATTCCCAAATGGTCTCTGCTAGCCTGCCCTCCCTCTCTCAATTCCCAAATGGTCTCTGCTAGCCTGCCCTCCCTCTATCAATTCCCAAATGGTCTCTGCTAGCCTGCCCTCCCTCTCTCAATTCCCAAATGGTCTCTGCTAGCCTGCCCTCCCTCTCTCAATCCCCAATGGTCTCTGCTGTCTTGCCTGATTCTGTGGATACAGCCATCTTCCCTCTTCTTCAGTTGCCGTGACAATTTCTGGTTCTGATTGAACGGGTTTCGGTTTTCGGCCTGATTTTCTGAAAAAGAAACGTGGTTAAAGGGTCCGAGAAGTTAGATTGGCCCTAAAAACTTACTTATAGGTTGGGGGCACGCATAGTGAAACGGCACTGTCATCAAGGCTTTGGCACCTGAAGGATTTGGTTAGAAATTTCTCTCTGTCTCTCTCTCTCTCTCTCTCTCTCTCTCTCTCACTTACTTGCTCTCCGCATCCTGACTCCTTTCCCATTCCAAAGTAGCCGACAGCGAGACACCAAAAACACTTCGGCGTTCATCTGAAATTCACAGTGGGGCTGTACGGCTTGAAGTCGTCCCCCTACCATCAGTACTCCCTCCAGAAGACGGCCTTCGATTCGGCTCCCCAACTCCGAGGTTCCGGCTCGGTTTCATCATTTTCTGGCGTTTTATGCGGATGTTGGGGAATTCTGGAAAAGTATGGCTTTTGGATTTAGTAGTCCTCTTGAAAAATGTGGCTACAAACCACAAAAAGATGCAGATAATTTTAAAGGTGCTGTAGAGGCAAAGTAGCGACTATCGGTAACGATCGATACCTTTCTGTTTATGCAAGGAAATTCCGGGCAACATCCTGGCCAAGGCGGCCGTGGCCACGGAGCGGAGGGCGGCACGTTCGGCTGGGCTTAGATGTTCTAGTCGGGATCCACGCAGTACCACTTCACTACCATCTACGCTACGCCAGGTGGCGGAATCCTGAAATGGGAGAGAGTGAGAAAGAGAGAGAGAGAGAAAGAAAGAAAGATAAAGAGAGAGAGAGAGGAGAGTGAGAAAGAGAGATATGCTGAGAGAGCGAGATAGGGAGAGTGAGAGTGAGAGCAACAGACATATGAAAAGGCGAGACAAAGGCCTATTTAGAGAGATAGGGAGAGAGAGCACGACAGAGAGTTAGAGAGAGAGGGGAGAGAGGGAGAGTAAGCGGGTCAGTCAGAGATAGCTAGATAGAGAGATAGGGAGAGAAACAGATGCGAGAGTAAAATGAGGTAAGAAACAATAAAGGCGAGAGGACGTGACAGATGAGAGAGCGTAAGAGGCGAGAGAGTGAGAGAGACGTTAGATAGTATGGGTTTTTCACGGT